TTAAGTCCTCTGACTTCATATTCCAGGCTTTTACACTACAACACACCACCATCCATCCAGTCTTTCCTTGAATACGTCTAACTTTTATTTAAACTATAAAACAGTTCTGGGAATAGACCAGGTTTAGAAATTGGTTAATTGTTTTACAGCTTCATGGTTTGCTCTAATCTTTGTTTTTATTAACAACACCAAACATTTGAATGGCAGATCTCACTGTGAAAAGCCAAGACCAGTAAACACTATCTACTCAGAAAATATTGTTTTATTCAAATATCATTTGAATAAAAATAGACAACAGGAAAGGCTTAACCTGGGATCACCTGGCACCCAAATTGAGCCTTGAAGGGAAGCTAAGGATTATAAAAGGGAGAAGGGAGGAAGGGGAGCATTCCAGGCATGAAGGGCAAACTGAAGGAGGCAGGAGATGGAATGCCAAGTTCAGGAAACTAACAAGTGAATTAAGTTTAGGGAGTAAGGTGAAGCCAGACCATGAAGGACTTTAAATACCAAGATGAGGAAGTCAAATTTTATCCCATATGCGAAAGAGAGTATTGAATATTGTTGAGCAGTCAGACCTGTGGAAGTTATTTTGACAGTTGCGTGAAGGCTGCAGTACAGAAAGAACAAGAATTGACAAGATTGGGCGCAACTGAATAGACATGGGGTAAAGGCGAAAAGGTGAAGAAGAGATGAGGATAATAGGGTTGTATATTTGGGTGACTGGAAGAATGCAGTGGCCTCAGGAGAAATAGGGAAGTTTGGAGGAACAGCAAGTTTAACAAAGAAGATAATGCATTCCACTTTGGACATGTTGAATTTGAGATCCCTATAGGACATGAAAAGGTGGTATGAAAGCAGAGGATTTGTCTTGTTGATATTTGTATATTTGAGTCCACCATAAGGTCATGGTGATAGCAGACATGTTTTGAGAGATGCTGTTGAACTGAACTGAAAAAGGAAAAAAATCTTGCCCTGGGATATTTTCAGAGCACCTCTGATGAGACCTAAAGAAACCCTGGGCTGCAGAGAATTCTGGTTTAATGTTCCTAGTTTTCTAAAGAATAACATATACATATGTGTATATATATATATATTTATATGCTTGATATATGAAAAACCTTTTCAGAATTTATTTTACTGTGCTACCTACCCACCATTCCATCAATATTGATCAGTTTGGCAATACCTGTTGTGTATAAAGAACTGTGCTGGGTGCTCAGGGAAATGCAAAATTTTGATGCAATGAGTTCTGCCCTCAAGGAACTGTCCGTCTATTACTAATTATTGCTGCTGTTGTCTAGACTTCTTTAAAAAGTTTTTAAAAAAAGGGGTGGGCAGCTAGGTGGCGCAGTGGATAAGAGCACCGGCCCTGGATTCAGGAGGACCTGAGTTCAAATCCGGCCTCAGACACATAACACTTACTAGCTGTGTGACCGTGGTTAAGTCATTTAACCCCAATGCCTAGCCAAAAAAAAAAAAAAGTAAAACAAAAACAACCAATAGAATAAATGAATAAGAAAATAGGTAAGAAAAGAAGTGAATAATATTTTGGTAGTCTTTTTTTTCCTTAATTTGGCAATCGCTGATGATCTGGTACCTAACAAATTGTGTAAAAATTATTTTTAGAAAATAAAGGACATTCACGTAATAGAACACTAGAATACAATTAAGACTAGAAAATGTGAAAAAAAAAACAAAACAAAAACCCTTCATGGAAATAATGGGACCAGGAGAACAGAGTATATATACTAACTATGACAATTTAAAAGGAAAAATGAAAGGAAGTGAATGGACCAGGAAAATCAGAGGGTGTAGACATTACGACATTTTATATTATGAATTTCATTTAACTGCAAACAGTTGTTAGGGGAATGACTAAAAGAATAGCAGTACTTGATGAAAAAAGATAAAAGATCTAGAAAATGCCTTTACCTCTGCCACTGCAGCATAAAAATAAAAATAATCTGCCTAATAGAAAAAAATTTTGTAAATTTCACTCAACTCTTCAGACATCCACTAAGTGCAAAATGCCAAGTATAGTTTTTATTTCTTCATTTTTGCTTGGGAAGGAAATGAGGGGGGAAAATGACAAATTCTAAGTTTAATATATAGTTAATCTTCCTTTTCCTATTTTCCCACTTTTGCTTAATTACCATATGAAATGAAGATTCAATATACCCTAAGACTGATAACTGAAGCATTTTGTTTCATGTCTTCTATGAAAACTATTAAGAACAATGTAACTCAAAGATACTGCTTGCAATTATCATTAAAATATTTTTAAGGAAAAAACCTAATATAATAATGGCAAGATATAGAAAAACAAAGAATGTATATAAAATCTATCTATAACACAAAAAGTACGAATAGTTTATTTACATAAAAACTTTGTCAATTCTGTCCCTAAAATAGCTTAGAAAAATGTGAAAAATTATGCTTACCATTAATTTGTGGAAGGAGTACTTCCAATTAGAAGGAATGTACACCTTAATTATGGCTTCCTTTTTTTTTTTTTAAACATTTTTATATATAGTAATGCCTCTATAAATGAAGGTGCAATATAACAACAAACCTTAGAAATTTCATTACTAGATGAAGAAATGGAATAGATGTTCCAAGATGAATTCCCTCCTTCCTTTCTTTTCTCTATTGTGGCCTTCTAAACTCACACTAGGTACAATCTTTCCCCTCTCCCGAGATATTTCTCATCTAGTGACAGAAGTCAAAAGCACAGGCCTAGCAACCTTTTCTACCACATGACCAGTCTCATAGTCCAAGCAATGGAATTCCTCCCCTCAGGCCCCAGGACCAAGCATTTACAAGTCTCTTCAATGACTAACCTCTGCCCCACCAACTCAGCCAGATTTGGTTCTAAGATGTTTTCCAGTATTACTGTAGTTCTTAACACAGCTCTCTCACTTTTGTATTCCACATTAGAATTTAGTTATATAGTTATTAAAGTAAGAAAAAATGATCATCACAGGAGACAAAATAACCAATATCCAAAAGGATGTCTATGTCATGAATCCTTGAAGGTATCTGGGGTTATCAGTAGTATGTTCCCTTCAGTGCACAGTCCATCCCATTCATTCCCTTTTATCTTGGGGAATAGTGTCCCAAGGATGGCGATAGTTTGCACAGTGGACAGAGTGCGGGGTCTATAGACTGGAACACCAGAATTTAAATCTAGCCTCAGACACGTACTAGCTGGGTGGGCCCTGGCAAGTCATTTAACCTGTTTGCCTCAGTTTCCCATCTGTAAAATGGGGATAATACCACCCACCTCCCAGGACTGTTACAAGGATCAAATAAGACAATAATTGTAAAGTGCCTGGCATACAGTGATATAAGTTAGCTATTTTTATTAAAAATGTTCTTAGAACTAGCTTTCATTACAATCATTTCTAAATTCCCAACTTTAACAACAGTGGCTAGCATTTATATAATGCTTTAAGGTTTGCAAAGTTCTGTTCATGTTATCTGATTTGATACTCACAATCCTGGGAGGTAATGGGGGGGGAATGAAGGGAGGGAAGGAAGGAAAAAGGAAGGAAGAAGGAAGAAGTGTCTGCCCTCAATGAGGTTACTTTCTAAGGAGGGAAGACAACAGGTAAAAGGGAGCTAGGAGAGCAACACTGCTTAAACAAAATGGAATGTGTTTAGTTTTGACTGGCACTGAATCGTAAGCTTAACGTAAAAAAGCATAAATTTATGTTTTAGGGTAAATATTTTCATGTAAATTTTGGTGTAAAGTATTTTAATGTAAAATGCATAAAATTACCCATTCTACAAAACAGCACCACTTGCAAATACACAAAACCATAGATTTAAAGCTAGAAGTGACTTTTAACTAAGGTCATCCAGTAAAACCCGTACATTTTACTTATGCTTTACACAGAATCTAAGTGCATTAACATTTTATTCTTTGTAATTATGTATTTTGATCCTCCCAACAACCGTGTTATGTGGGTACCATATAGATTATTCCCAATTATATAGACGAAGAAACAGGCTTAAAGTGTCTGAGGCAACTTTTGAATTCAGGTCTTCCAAACTCTATGCACTGTGCCGTCTAACTGGCTAGTACGTGGCCCGTGCTTATTACTTGAACGATACATTGTCTCACTGGAGTGCTTTCCATAGAATACCTCACTTGATCCTCACCACAAGGCTGTGAGGAGGTAGGTGATATTCTTAACTCTATTTTACAACTGATGAAACTGAGGCTGTTGGGTTATACCTGAATGTAACTTTGACCATCTTGTCATTTTACAAAGGATGGAACCTGAGACCAAAGATTCATGACGGGCCCGAGGCTACCAGGGCAAGTGTCAGAGCTGGAAGCCACAAGGTCCACTGACTCCAAAATCATGTGCTTTCTCCAGGGCTGACACTGCCTCAGTTCAGAAAGGCAAGTTCCGACAAAAGCTAATGACCCGAGAGAAAGAAATGCTTTCCTAGGTACTGCTTATCCAGAAAAACCTCAAGGATGAAAACTCGGCTGAACTTTAAACAGAGGGCCCCCACACACGTGAGTGACTCGCGTGGAGGGGAAGGTGGGAGTTTCCGGTGTTTCCGCACGGGCAGAGCACCATTCCGGGCCTGGCCTCTCCCAGGTAGGCGGCGCCCCTCCCCCCGCCCGCCAAGGGCACAGGCCGCGGGGCAGGCCTCGCACGCGCCGCGCGCTCCCGAGCCCCTGACAGCCAGGAGCTCGGGACTTCCTCCGGGCGAGGCCCCCTCCCCGGGCGTAAGTGGGCCACCCACACACGCTCACGCACGTCCCGGCCCTCGCGCCCCACCCCCTCGGGGCCCTCCCTGACCCCCGCCGGGGAGCTGGCACAGGCCTCGGGCGCCCTGCGGAGCGTGTCACCCACGCACGCACGCCCACGCCGGGCCGGGCCGTGGGGCCACTTTCACTGTGTTCTGGGGCCGAGGCGTGCCGTCTGTGAGCGGGGAGGGGGCGGCGGGGGCCCCTGCAGCGCCCCGGTCCTTGGCTTTACCTGGGCAGCGGACGCTCACGCTCCCCGCTTAATCCTCCTCCTCCTCCTCCTCCCCTCCTCTCTCTTGGGCGCCAGAGGAACCCGCCCGGCCCGGCCCGACCTGAAAGAGAACAGGGAGGAGGGGGCTGGGGGGGAGTGGCGGCGGCGGGCACGTGACCACGCTCGCGCCTCCGCCTCCTCCTGCCCCCGGCCCCGCCCCCGGCAGCTCCCATGCCCCGCCTACCACGCTTCACCACCATCCTGGGCGGGCGCGGAAGACTGCGTGCGCACACCCTCGCGGAAGACCCGGGCTCCTCGGCCGAGGTGGGGGCGGAGTCACAACGTGGAGAAGGCGGAGAGACCCGTGTGTCCGTCCCGCTCCTGCCCCGCCTGCCTCCTCCGTCACGCATGCGCACCGCGAGGACCGGCTCATTTCCCGCGCAGCGCTTCCGGGACCCGCGAGGGCGTGGGTTCCATTCCCAAATACAGAAATTCGGAGCTTTCCTACTTCCCCAGTTGCTCCTTGTTGTGGTCAAGTGGTCAGTTGAACCCTACTTTTAAAATTACAAGAGCCGTCTGCAGCTCCAGCGCTCGTCCAAGAGACTGCAAGCCTGGCTTTGCTTGGACATTCCATCCCCCGCCTTGGGGCGGTTTTCCCTGGCTGTGCCCCCTGCCAGGAACCCCCTCCTCCCCAATCACCTCCCTGCTTCCCTGGCCAGCTGAAATCCCACGTTCTACAAGAAGCCTTTCCCATCCTCCTTACTTTATACTACCTTTGACTATTTATAATTTATCCTGTGAGTGGCTTGCTTGTACATGGATATTTGCAAGTTGTCTTCCCATTAGACTATGAGCTCCTGGGGAGCAGTGACCATGCTTTTGCCTTTCTTTGTATCCCCAGCACTTAGCATAGTGCCTGGCACAGAGATGGCGCTTAATAAATGTTCACTGACCAACTGGCCCCAACTTCACTGAATAGCAAGCCCAGGCCTGCCATGTGGGCACTGATGAATTCATTTTGCCAACCGGAAAGGCCTTATAGGTGGTTCATAGGATCCTACATCTAGAAGGGACCTGGGTATGAGAGGGAAGGAATGAGCATTTTAACCCTGGAAGGTAGATGCTGTCATTATCCCCATTTTACAGTTGAGAAAACTGAGGCAAACAGGGTTAAGTGACTTGCCCCAGGACACACAACTAGTGTCTGAGGTTAGATTTGAACTCAGTAAAATGAGTCTTCCTGATTGCTTGACCAATACGCTATGCACTGTGGCGCCACTTAGCTGACATAATGTTTTGCATATTGCCCTCTCCATTAAAATATGAGCTCCTTGAGGACAAACCATATCTTTGTATCCCGAGTGTTTTGTACAGTGCCTAATAGGCACGTGGTATGTATGTAAGTAAATGCTTGTTGCCTTGCTAGTTTTTAAAGAGGAAGTTCACAAAGATAAAAGTCAAATAACCCAGTAAGGAAAATAGAGGAAAGGAGTCTTGCATGACTTACTGTTTTGGGGAAACAGAGCTTACACTGACATTTTTTCATGGTGTCTCTATTCACACAAGTGTTTCGTAAAACACAATTTGGGTAATCATGTGTTACAAAGTTCCTCCTTATGCTGAGCTGAAATCTTCCTCCCTCTGGGCATAGTTCTGCTTTCTGGAGCCACGTAAAATACAGCTGTCCTTTTTTACATGATAACCTCTGAACCTTGAAGACTTCTGTTTCTGTTTAACCCTATCATGTCTTATATTCTCCTTGTCCCTCTTTGATGTGAAGCATGCTCAGCCGTGAGGATGGCAGTTTGACACTGTTCAGATTCCTCACTATCCTGACGGCTCTCTCTTAAATGATACCCTTTAATCTGACAGATGTTAGTACTAGTGCGGTCAACATTGATCCTCACTAAAAGGAGAAGTGTTTTTGCAGGTAATGAAAGGTGGCAAATTAATGACCAGGTTGATAGATCAAGAGCTAGAAGGGAACTTTGAGTGGAGTTGGAAGACCTGAGTTCAAATCTGGCCTCAGACGGTTTTCTTTGTGACCCGGGGCAATCACTTAACCCCATTTGCCTCAGTTTCCTCATCTGTAAAATGAGCTGGAGAAGAAAATGGCAAACCACTCCAGAATATCTGCGGAGAGAACCCCAAATGAGATCAGGAAGAGTCAAACAACTGAAAAACAATAACAGCAGCAGCAGCAGTAGCAAAATAGTCTAACCTCCCTCATTTTACAGATAAGGTAATAGACCCAAAAGGACAGGACTGAAAAATGACTCATCAATAACAAACTTGACCAGGACCCCACAGCTAGTAAGAAGCAGAGGTCTTCCTTAGGTCCCGGGTCCTTAGCACCAAATTCAACTTGCTACTGTACTATACTGCCTCCTTCTAGGTAAGAGGCTGGTCCGGTGGGTGTTGTTTTGAAACCCTGGTAGGCACACTAATGAAATAGACAGCCAGGAGTATGAAAAGCTTCCTGAAAATATTTGTATTCCCAAATCTTGACATGGCTGAGTGAAATTTTTCCCTTTAGGATTCAGTCCTTTAGCTTAAATAAGAATGTCCCCTAGAAATATGAAAATACTTGACTGAAGCCTACCCTGATGTCCCATCCTTAGCGCAGACAGAGTCCTGGGTTGTCAAAGGCTAAGCCATTGGAATGTAACACTTAGCACGTGATTCCAACCTGGAAAGACCTTGAATACAGATCTATTGATGTCTGTTATCCAAGGTCTGGTCTGACTAGCTTAGGGAATGTCTAGCAATAGATTGGTCACAGATTGAAGAATTGTTTTTAATCACAGCTCTTCTCAAAGATCTTCCATAATTTAGTCTTTGACATGTTGAAATGTAAATATGAAATACTCTTGGTCAAGCTGTAATAATCATTTATCAAAATCTTTCCTAAACTGTTTTTGATGGGGGAAGAAGGGATAGCAACAAGCATCCCTGAGGAGAAGTTGTCAAAACCAAACTTGACAATTTCTTCTACAACTGGCCTTTGAAGTGGTATTGGACTGGGCCACTGAAGTAACTGGGCTATTGGTTGATGTAAATAAAGGACTGCAGAATAAATATGTCAGAACCCAATCGGTGGCCAGAAAATGTCACCCACTGGAATGTACTTCGTCATAAGAAGAGAATGGGCCCAAGCAAGGGGATAGAGAGTACCCCCAGACCCAAATGGGGGGGGAGAGAAGGTGGCCACTCATTAGGGTGATTTTTAATGCAAGTAACTGTAGGCAGTTAATAGGGAATTGATTTATGCAGCATTAGGTAATACCCAGCGGACAAAAATTGCTAAGAAGCCTCCAGAAGTGAGGAGAAATGAGTACAATGGCCCAAGCCAAGGCTTTTTAAGCGTGTGCCAGTGTGCTGGGAAAAACTCCCACAGGGGCCATCAGCATTTTGGAACAACGAGTAAGAAAAGTTCTCTAGCCACCTAGTTAGTAGAAATCAGCTGCTGGCATGTGATGTCTGCAGAAAATTCAAGAGCATGATGTCTGTGAGGAGAAAGAGAAACAGATGAACAGCAGACACTCTGCACGTCTTGTCTTTCATAAAATATATATATATATATATATATATAGTTCTTATAGCCTAATTTCTCTATTTTTTTTATTAAAATGTTTCCCCAAGTATGTCTTTTCTTGGCATTAATGAAATAGATTAGATAATAATACAATTCATGGTTTGTATTTATACATTTTAGAACTTTTCATTTTGATTCACTGTCATTATTTTAATCTAGTATATTAAGTTTAAGGGTTTATTACTGTTCTCATTGTTTATAAGCTTAACTCCTATGTATAGCTGAGTCAGAGCCACCAAACCTAGCCAGGCAAATAAAAATCAGCAGAATGCCCCAGGTGAAAATTAAGTCTACTCTTTTCAGTACATGTCTGGTCTTTTCTTCTAGTGCAGACTGAAGGCCCTGGATCTCAGACAACTATTTATCAGGGTTGTCAAATTCTTTTTAACTCTTTGTTAAATCCCTTATTGTAAGCCTGCTTCCCAAAATATGTTGAGCATCCTGCCTCCTTCTTCCCATTGCCCTGCCCTCCCAAACCCTATATGAGCCACGTGTAGATTGGGTCACCAAGACTCACTTTGGCACCATGACCCTTTTTGTTTGGCATGCAAAAAACTCAAAGGCCACAACAAAATTTAAGTGAGGGAAAGGTCTTCACACCCTTGGTCTTCATCCCTGCCAGAGAGAGAGACAGAGACAGAGACAGAGAGAGAGAAGGACAGAGCAACTTAAACTACCCCCTCCAAAGTGTCCAGTGACCTCTTATTTGCCCAGCCTATTGGCCCTTTCCCAATCTTTATCCCTCTTGAGTGACTTCTCTGTAGCGTGGGGCATTGTTGGTTACCTTTCTTCCTGGATAATCTCCTCAGTGGGTCGTCATGACAGTACTCTCTCTTGGATCTCCTGCTACCAGTGTGACTGCTCCTTTGCAGGATCTTCTTCCAGTTCACACCTACTAACTGCGGGTATCCTCCAAGGCTTTATCCTGTACTGTCTTCTTTTCTTCTTCTATACTATCTCCCTTGGTAGTGTCATCAGCTTCTATGGTTTCAATTATCATCTCTATGGAGATGATTCCCAAAGCTATAGATCCAGCCCCAATCAGACGTCTTAGCTCTAGTCCCCAATCACCCACTGTGGGTTGAGTATCTTGAATTGAATGTCCTGTGGGTATCTCGAAACAACACATGCAAAACATTATCATGTGCCCCCACCCCCAAGCCGAAGCCCTGCTTTCTTCTGGTGTTTCCTGTTACTACCTAGGACTCACCATCCCACCATCCTCCCAGTCACTCACAACCTTGGGGTCATCCTCAGTTCTCCACTCCCAGTCCAGCCATATGCCGATCTGTTGTCAAATGTTGTTGCTTCTTAGTTTTGTTTTGTTTTTGCATCTTTCCCATATGTCTCCATCTCTCTAGTCACACAGCCACCAACCTAGGACAAATCACAAAATATATACAATGGTCTTCAAATCTTAAAATACAATATAAGTGCTAACTGCTTAGTAGCAACAGCAGTATTTTAAGTCTTCACCACTGAACTATTGAATAGACTATTTTTTTTTTTAGGCAGCTAGGGTTAAG